TTAAATTTAATCTCATTTAATTATTCCATGAAAGGATTTAATAAAAAGGAAAAGGAAAGGTGAATTTTTTATTTTTAAAAGGGAAGATGCCATTGTAAACAGTGAAGTAGCCGGGAAACCTAGTTCGTGATATTGATTTTAAGAGTATAATTAAATAAAATTATAAAATGCCGTTATAAAATTCTGATTGATAAATAAATAACAGAATTACGCACATATCTTCAAAAGCCTAACATGCGCCGCTGGGACAACAAAAAAGATTTGCCATTTAATTCCTAAGAACAAAGCCTATTATAAAATACCGGGGAATAAAAAAAGAAAGAACAGGAAGAAATGATGCTTTGTCTGTCCAATTGAGAGGCTCACACTCTCAAGGTTCCCGCACTCAGACGACGGTCTACCATATTTTTCCTAGTCAACTCGTGGTGCTCGACGTCCCTTGTCAAGGGAGAGGAGAATGACTTTTGCAGCAACAAGGAAGAATCCCCTCTTTATTTTCTCCTCACTATTTCTGGTAAACATACTGTAATATAACTCTGCTATCCTTACTTTCCATGTGTTCATTCCCTTTCTAACACTAATTTCAAATGGGCAATTCGCTTATGCACACCTGCTTATATTTCCTGCTAAAACTCTCTGTTGGAATTTGCTTCCTGTCTTCCGTTGTTTCTAGCCAGTGTCTTGAGCACCAGAGGTCAGTACTGCTACAAATCAAACAAGAATTGTCAATTGATCCTCAGTTTGTAACTGACTCGAAGCTTCTGTCTTGGACTCCAACAAAAAACTGCTGCTTGTGGGATGGTGTGACTTGTGACCTTCAAACTGGTTATGTTGTCGGTCTAGACCTCAGCGATAGCTCCATTACTAGTGGAATCAACGGCTCTACCAGTATCTTCAGTCTTCATCACCTCCAGTATCTCAACATAGCGGGAAATGAATTGTTTTCCTCTCCCTTTCCATCAGGATTTAGTAAACTTTCGAGCTTGACTCATCTCAACCTTTCATGGTCAGGCTTTTTTGGTCAAGTTCCGGCTGAAATTTCATTTCTTAGAAAGTTGTTATCTCTTGATCTTTCTTCCTATCCGTTTGGATTAGAGGAACCTGTAACACTCCAAAATCCAGATATTGAAACACTTGTAGAAAACCTGACTAGGCTGAGGGTGCTCCACCTTGATGGAATAGACCTCTCCATGGCTGAGAGTAGGTTGTGGGCGGTCCTGTCAACAAAACTTCCTAACCTTCGTGTCTTGGGTTTGTCAAATTGTAATCTTGCTGGGGTATTGCACCCTTCTCTTTTACAACTTGAGCAACTTACCGATCTCCAGCTAAGTGGAAACAACTTTTCATCAAGAGTACCTGACTTCTTAGCCAAGTTTTCTTCTTTGAAAACTTTGAATCTAAGATATTGTGGGTTGTATGGAATTTTTCCAAATAGTCTGTTCTTGATGCGCACTCTGCGTTCTCTTGATGTGTCGTACAATTCTAATCTCACTGGAACTTTGCCAGCAGATTTCCCATCAGGCAGCAGACTTGAAGTTATTAACCTCTCAGGAACAATGTTTATGGGGAATTTACCGCATTCGATAGTTAATCTTGTCTTCCTACAAGATTTAGAAATTTCTCAATGCAGTTTTTCCGGATCAATTCCTTCCTCATTTGAAAATCTCACCGAGCTTCGTTATCTTGATTTTGGAAGAAATAATTTCAGTGGTCCAGTTCCATCTCTGGCTTTATCAGAAAAGATCACTGGATTGATATTTTCCCACAATCATTTCTCAGGTACCATTTTTCTTGTCTTTGGTAGGTTTAACAAAATAAAAATCTCTATATTCATAGCAGCTATTTTACAGGATTTATTCCTTTGTCTTATGCGAATGGGCTGAACTATCTTGAAGTTCTCGACTTGAGGAACAACTCATTGAAGGGAATGATCCCTCCAGCTCTTTTCACGAAACCCTTATTGAGGTGGCTAGATCTTAGCCAGAACCAGCTTAATGGACAGCTAAAAGAATTTCAGAATGCTTCATCTTCCCTATTGAGGGTGATGCACCTGAGTGAAAATGAATTGCAGGGTCCAATACCAGTGTCAATCTTCAAAATAAGAGGGCTTAGTGTCCTGGGGCTTTCTTCCAACCAGTTCAATGGCACCATAAACTTTGAGATGATCAAAGATACTAACGAGCTTACTACACTCGATCTCTCTGACAATAACTTCTCCTTTGAGGTTAGTGGTGTCAATTCAACCTTGTTTTCTCATATTGGAAAGCTCGGTTTGGGTTCCTGTAATTTAAAAGAAATTCCAGGTTTTCTGACAAACCTGATGAATTTGTTTCATTTGGACCTTTCTAATAACAAAATCAAGGGTGAAATACCTAAATGGATTTGGAAAGTAGGCAACGAGAATCTGGTATATCTAAACCTATCTAACAATATGCTATCTGGTTTTGAAAAACCAATTCCAAATCTTTCTCCTGGTAACTTGGCTGTTCTCGATCTTCATTCCAATTTGCTGCAGGGGCCCTTCCTTATGCCACCACCTTTCATCATCCATTTAGATTACTCACACAACCAGTTTTCATCCTCCTTGCCATCCAGGATTTTCGAAAACCTGACCTATGCTAGTTTCGTGTCCCTATCAAGTAATCACTTCAATGGGGAAATTCCGTTTTCAATGTGCGAGACGCGGAACTTATTTGTCCTAGATCTGTCTAAAAATCACTTCAATGGCTCCATTCCAGGGTGCCTGGGTAATTCCAACAGTTTCTTGAAGGTGTTAAATCTGCGAAACAATGAACTACATGGAATCCTGCCAAAAAGGTTCGCAGAGAATTGCACTTTGAGAACTCTCGATGTCAATCAAAATCAGTTAGAAGGGCCCCTGCCAAGATCACTGGCCAACTGTGGAGATTTGGAAGTCTTAGACGTTGGCAACAATTTCTTGAATGGTTCTTTCCCATTCTGGTTGGAAACTTTGCCCCTGCTACGAGTCCTTATCTTGCGGTCCAATTTCTTTGGTGGTTCAATCATTTATTCTCCAAGTAAAACTTCATTCCCTCTGCTACAAATAATTGATCTAGCTTCCAATAAATTCCGGGGCAATTTGTCGTCTGAATGGTTCAAGAGTTGGAAGGGGATGATGAAGCAGGAAAAGAAATCACAGTCTAGCCAAGTTCTCAGATATAGTTATTTGGTGCTAACTCCATTCTACTACAAAGATTCTGTGACATTGGTAAACAAAGGGTTGAACATGGAGTTGGAGAAGATCTTGACAATCTTCACCTCTATTGATTTATCCAACAATCTGTTCGGGGGTGAGATTCCTGAAAAAATAGGAGATCTTGATTTACTCTACGTACTCAACTTGTCAAATAACCATCTCACAGGCCAGATTCCTACTTCATTTGGAAAACTCAAGGAGCTTGGTTCTTTGGACCTGTCAGAAAACAGACTTTCAGGTACGATTCCTCAACAACTCACCACATTAACCTTTCTCTCAGTTTTAAAACTCTCACAGAATCTACTCGTGGGAGAGATACCGCAAGGCAATCAGTTTGGGACATTCACATCAGCTGCTTTTGAAGGGAATATTGGACTGTGTGGCCCTCCATTAACCAAGAACTGCTCTCATGGATTGCCTCCAATGGAGCCGAATGCCGACCATGGAAATAGCACTTGGGGTATTGATTGGAACTACTATTGGATTGGATTTGGCTGTGGAGGTGGACTGGGCCTAAATATTGGTTTTGTGGCAGGAACTGTTGCCATCAATATCTTTATGAAGAGAAGGGGAAGAATAAGAAGAAGAAGAAGAAGAAGATTTCCAGTACTTTCGATGGTCCAAGAATTGTATTCTGCAGATATGATATTGCAATGAAACGAATCCCAAGCCAAAATGTAGCAAACGTTACGCTTCAATAAATGATAAAGGTTAGACTTTCGATTTAATTATTTGTTCCAATCCATCACAATAACATACTACTCCTTTTCAGACATCTTACTAAACATTTCCAGTGGACCGGACACAAAATCTCAATGAACTTGAGCCACTTTAAGTTTTAATGATACTGGGATTCAGACCTAAAAAATCTCAATACTACGCTTATTATTTTCAGTGGATTAAAGTTGGGCTGAAGGCTTATTACGCTTTGGGAAGCTGGGGTGAACAGCATAAACCATTGCTTCAAATCCAAGCCCTAATATTCCAACCATATTTACGAGCACCATTTTCGGTAAAGAAAGCAGAGGTTGCAATCAAGATGCTTTGAGCCCAAGCAAAGATCACTTGCAAGTGCCTTAAATTGATGACTCTAGCATTAAGATAATGAAAAGAGGTCTCATAGTCCAAAAAGCATTTAAAAGAACTTCGTGCATCGCAAATCACCCGAAATCCGCCTTGAAGAAATTGTGACTAGCTAGCTTGCTTTGTTCAAAATCAAGATGGGAAGGCGTCTACTTTAAACTATCAAAAATGGTTGACTTTGCATGAAAATTAGATCCGGTCTTCTGCTGGTGGCCTAACATAGGTAAAGTTGACTTGTCTACTGGCTAAAGAAAATGGGTAAATCTTCAATAAAAAGAAGAAAAATATAGAATGATAAATTGAGATAGTATTGTCCCTCTTCAAGGTGAACTCAAGTTCTAGCTTTCTGCTTAACAGATACGGAACTGAAGTAAAAGTGACAGCCAGGACATTTACATAGTAAATCTTGACACTAACATGTTAAGAATGGCAGAAGATACAAGCTAGCCAAGGGAGTGGAGGAGGCTTCAACATTACAAAACGTAGCACATGGAGTAAATTCGTCCAGGCCCTGCAAATATTATATGAACTGCCAATAAAAACAAGTATATATTATGGCCACAAGAAGAATCCTCTTTCTCTTGGAGGACGCGTGAGAACTGCACTAGCTAATAAAGAAGAGAAGAAAAGAAAACAACATGCACTTGTTTAAGAGCGTGACCACATCACCTCAATACTTTCCTTCACTTTTCAGCATAAATATTTAGAATTCATTAATCTTTGCAAATTATTAAGCACCAAAAGCAAACGAAACATTTTACTAAGTCCCAATCAAAAAATGGCCTTCAACAGCAAGCCCAAGAAACCTTATGCCATCCCATCTCAATCTAAATCCAATCTATGCACCACACTTTTCTTCATTGTTCTCTTCACTATCCCAGCCCTTTTCCTCCTCCATGCCCCAACCACCTCCATTTGCACCACCTTAATAGCCAACCATGCCAGGCCTTGGTCAGGTGATCTACGCAATGCAGAATTTGCATGGAACCGTCTTGCCTTCATTGAAAATAAACCCCCTCCAGTCAAGCTCAAGATTGCTGTTTTCTGTCGCAAGTGGCCTCTTGGCACAACCCCTGGTGGCATGGAACGCCATGCCTACACTTTACACACTGCCCTAGCTCACCGCGGCCATCAAGTGCATATCTTCACCTCTCCTGTAGATGAAAATAGCCCATCCGTTTCTCATGCTAGTGTAATATCTTATCCACAAATTCATTTTCATGAAGGGGAACCGGGCAAGTGGATACATAACAAAGCATGGAAGCAATTTGAAGAGGAGAATCAGCGTGCAAAACCATTTGATGTGGTTCACTCGGAAAGCGTGGCTTTGCCTTATTGGTTAGCTCGCAGAGTTCCAAATCTTGCAGTTTCTTGGCATGGTATAGCTCTTGAAGGCTTACAATCAAGTATTTTCCAGGAATTGGCACGAAAACCAAATGAGGCCATCACTCCTTATTTCAATAGAAGTCTACAAGGTTTTGTCCCTAAAGTGCTTGATGAGATAAGGTTTTTCAAGAAATATAAGCATCATGTTGCTATTAGTGATAGTTGTGGTGAGATGCTTAGGGATGTGTACCAGATTCCTAGAAGAAGAGTTCATGTAATTGTCAACGGTGTAGATGAAGATGATTTTGGAGAAGACGTGAGCTTAGGCCACGAGTTTAGGTCTAGAATTGGCGTCCCAGTTAATGCTAGTTTAGTACTCGGTGTGGCAGGAAGATTAGTGAAAGATAAAGGGCATCCACTTCTTTATGAAGCATTTTCCGAGTTCATGATAGAACATCCTGATGTTTATTTAATTGTGGCAGGGTCAGGTCCATGGGAGCAAAGATACAAAGACTTAGGCCCCAGAGTCTTGGTTTTGGGATCTATGAGTCCATCTGAACTGCGGGCATTCTATAACTCCATTGATATCTTTGTGAACCCAACACTGAGACCTCAAGGCCTTGATCTTACACTCATGGAGGCAATGATGAGTGGGAAGCCAGTTATGGCATCACGATTTCCCAGTATTAAGGGCACCATTGTTGTTGATGATGAGTTTGGTTTCATGTTTTCTCCAAACGTGGAATCATTATTGGAGACCTTGCAAGCTGTGGCGATGGAAGGATCTAGAAGACTAGCTCGAAGAGGGAAGGCATGCCGGCAATACGCTGCTTCGATGTTCACTGCCCGTAAGATGGCACTGGCATATGAGAGGTTATTTCTCTGTATCAAAAATGAAACCTTTTGCACTTATGATTAGTTAGATTATAGTTTTATTTATTCTTTTGGTTTTAAATTTTTATTTTTTTTATTTTTATTTTTATAACAAGCAGTGTGTTATGCATTTAACACACTGCTTGAGTTGGTTTACTCTACAAAATCATTTAGGATCATTTTAAGGAGACAGGAAAAAAGATTTATCCTTTTTCATGTAGTTTCAGATTCAATAAACCTACTAATGAAAGGAAACAATCAAACTGTGAGGTGACCATCTTCATGATCTTGTGGTCTACCAATGTTAAATTTGATTGACTTGGTTTCAGATCAAAATCTTTGATAAAAAGAACATCCTCTTTATTCTTTTGGTTTTAAATTTTTATTTTTTTTATTTTTATTTTTATAACAAGCAGTGTGTTATGCATTTCACACACTGCTTGAGTTGGTTTCCTCTATAGAATCATTTACGATCATTTAAGGAGACAGGAAAAAAGATTTATCCTTCTTCATGTAGTTTCAGATTCAATAAACCTTCTAATGAAAGGAAACAATCAAACTGTGAGGTGACCATCTTCATGATCTTGTGGTCTACCAATGTTAAATTTGATTGACTTGGTTTCAGATCAAAATCTTTGATAAAAAGAACATCCTCTGCTGCAAAACTAATTTTTTTTCCCCAGGTAGCGAGTACAAGTAAACATTGATACATCTAAACAACTTCTGCCTCCCATTGTCTACTTGAACCTAGCCACGCCATAATCTTAGCAACCTCTTAAAACAGCGGTGTCATGCTCGAAATACGTTTTGCTTCAAACTGGTCATAGGCATGTCTGGTTCTCAAGAATAACAACAAGCTAGAAGTTAAGCCTAACACCGATAAGCATCCCCACCACACAAACGTTAAGAAATAGCACTGCCTTCCCATGCACACCGCCGAGTCAGTGATGATGCTTAGGCTAGAGCTTACATGAGAATCATACACTATAGCTGCTAGAAAACCATAAACAAGTGATCCTATTGGGATATTGGTGATAAGAATGTTGTGATTGACACCTACACTATTTGGCCCAAATAGCTCAGAAGTTATTGAAACTGCTGCGGCAAAGATGAACCCAGAGCTCAATCCAACTAATGCAGTGCTTATATGCAATGCTACTGCATTGCCTGATGCAGCGAGCAAGAAGAAGGCTATTGGGGTTGGCACAAGGGCAATGGTTAGCCACGCGGTCCTTGCAAAGTACATCTTCCTGCAGAAGACATCATTACTGTTTAGCTTAACGTAATGTCTAGGCTGCAACATCTCAAGGATTTTGCAGCACTTTGTTTAGTATTATGACTGCAAATCAATTGAAGGTGAAGGCACCATAGTTTATGCAGTCTGATGCAGCTGAAATTAGAAGTTTAGAAACTAAACAATGTACGATAACTTACGCTCGCATGTAGTCTGGTGCTGCTGAAAGTAAGCGGCCAAAAAAGGAGAAGGATGAATAGAGAGTTACAAGAGTTGTAGTGTTTGCACTTTGTCCAAGTGATTGTGCTATTTGACCTAAATTGTTGCTGTACACAAGGCCAATGGTACCCCCACAGACATATGCAGTGTAGTATAGCCAAAAATCCAGCCTGCTTACCAGCAACGACACAGGGTGCTCTTCCCCAAGCATTGCTAATCGATCTTTCTTAACCATTGAATCACAGCACCCTTCTTTTTCACCACTGCTTTTCCGCCTTTTAATTTCATACAGAGTTTCATCTCCATTTTCATGATAACTCGCCTCACGGGTAATGAGCTCTTTGTGAAGCTCAAGATCATCAACATCTACAAGAATGAAGCCAGAGCCATGAAGGCTGAAACTAGAATGGATGGTCCGGTGAAACCATTCTCTAGCATAGACAATACCAGGGATACATAATGGGAAAATTAGTAGAAAAATTGCTCCCCCAAGGAGTAGACGAGCTCTCATTCCATCAGATGAACTTGAACCAAAGAGAAGAAGATAAATTCCTGTGAGGATGGCTAAGAAATTCAATATTAGAAATATAAGGGAATCACGGCGGACTCCATCAGGAGGAAGGGGGTCTAAAGATGGTTGACGAATAATGGGGATCAGTGATACAACGGAAGTGATGAGGGGAATAAAAGCATTTAAAAGAAGATATATGTCGTTTGATGATGAATCTATTGCATTGCCAGCGAGAGCGTATAGGGCTGCACTCACACCATTGAAGGCTATCGTGAGGGATAAAGCTAGGGGCCGGTTAGCTGGGAAATTTTGGATGCAAAGAACAAAACATACAGTGTTGAACCAACAAATACTACATCCAGCCAACAAACAAAGAAGAAACACCTGCAAACAATTTTGCACTAATCAGAAAGTTTTTATGATGATGGATGGCTTTAGAAAAAGAAAATTTAGGAAAATATAAGCACACTCTACTATACTTCATCATATACTTCAATGAAATTATAATCCTATATCTATTCCCCATTGAAACACAGAATGCATTTGCAGTGAGAACAGCGAACAAAGCTTAAGCATCTATACTTGACATTGTTTTCTGTCCACAACAGACTTGCATTGTTTCTCTATATTATTTAGATAACTGCGCTTTCTCACACCACCATGCCACAAACAGCACTCCAGATATGCCCAGAGGACTCTGGATCTTAATTCTTAATACTGCAGAATTTCACAATCTTGAAGAACAAGCACAGAGGAGCCACAATTTTTTTCAGCTAAACATTTTCTATTTTTCTCTTTATCGGGTTGAGGTCTTGTTCTCACTGCCGTAAGGGGGGAAAGACAAAAAAGAAGAGATATCCGTAAGAGTAGGAAAGAGTTCCCTTTTTTTTACTTGTTACTTGCATGTTGAAATCGTCTTTTCCTTCTGCTTTCTTTCTTTCCTTTTTTTTTTCTTTTTTAATTAAGAGATACATATATTTAGACTTCATCTTTTACTTTGCAATATCAAGCTTTAGTCAACAGGGATACATTTCCAAATGGAGAATTTCGTTCCCCTCCTCTGCTTTTCAATGGAAAGTGCTACAGGACTAATTACGTGCCCCTTTAATCTACTTAAAAGGGAAAAGTACGTGCTAAATCGTTTATCACATGAAGAAACTCTAAAAGCAGTTCCTTTTCAAAAGTAAAGGCAAGGTCCCCTTAAGAAGGTCAAATAAATTAGTATGGAAAAACTTCAAGAGGAAAAATTATGCTGACAGAGAAAACAGAACATTCGTAGTACAGATCACAGAATTTCTAATTAAAGACAGGCACATATTCGTGTATCACGCTCCATAAAGACAGCTAAACATATTCATCTAAAACATGCCATCACATCCAATATACTTGAGGAAAAACAACTTTGATTCATCATATCTAGTGTTTTACATGATGGGATTTACGTGCCACCCTATCAAGTATTTACATCAGAAATCATAGTAGCCACCAGGTATAGATATTTTTCATGTTTTGGCACAGCCAAGGGAAATCAAATAAAAAAGTAAAGGGAAGGACCAATGGAGATATGAAATCTACCATAGCCCGCCAGGCGCCACAAAAGCAAGGAGAGGAAGGATGACAAAAGGACAAAATCAACTAGACAAGCAAGCAAACAATCTCTATGACAACTACCTGTTGTTGGGCATTTGTGCAATATTCTTATCAGCAGTATGTGGTAGAAAATTTGTGGCATAGATGAAGAAATGAATAATGAGGTTCGAGAGAGTTTCTACATCTAAATTGGAGGACATAGTGGTTCCTTTTCATGGAAATCGACCAGCGGCTACATGCTGTCCAACATCAACACTTGAGACAGTTCATGGTTTTCGTACATAAACAAAACATTGTAGATGGTATTCTACTACGCTTTTTTCCCAAAACAATTTCCCTTCTTTTCAAATTACCAGAACAAATGTCATAAGTTCAATGTCGTAACATTTGACGCAGCAGGACCAGTACAGTACGTGCAAGTGCATTCAATATCCAGCAATAATTTCTAGTTACTTCTGTTGAGTGGCCTCTGATATGATTATCTAATCTCAGACATCAGACTGGACTTTCAGCTTCTTTGCTGGTGTTGTGGTTCGAACAATAGTCAAATTTGGTACCACCTGGGACTCCTAATTTATAAATTTGTGATTCAAGTTCCAAAAGGATGGCTCCATTTTATTATTAACAACCTGTAAGGCTTTGTCACCATATTTGACCTTATGCTATTCCTGTTTAAACGTGTTTTTTCATAAAAATAAATATATATTATTTAAATAAAAAATATTTTAAAAAACAATTATTTACACTAAAAATAATATCCGGTGTTTAAATTTTCTGGCCACGAACTTCTGAAAAAAGAATTCAAAAGGTAAAAAGGTTGATGATTGCTTTCCGGAAGTGACACGGCAAACAATGTTGGACCGTGATCAACTTGAAAGGTGGAAATCTTGATAAAAACCGACGGCTCCCTTTTGTACTTGTGTCTATTTTCGACTTTAGATAAAAGCAAAATAATTGCTCTTGACATGATGATATGAAATCAAAAAACAGCATGCCTGTTCCCCGTTGAAAGAAAGGAAAGGATATATATATATATATATATATGTTCTCGTGTATTTCCTGATTGAAAAAATAGAATAATCACGATCAGTGATTCAGATTTTTCTTTTCTATTCAATTTGAAATTCAAGCATACGATAAATAACTTAACTAGTAATTTAAAAAGAATTATTTGACACTGGCCACTAAAGTTGTCTAATTTAGAATTGCAACTGTAGTTAATTAGTTTTTAAAATATATTAAAATAATATTTTTTACGTTTTAAAAATTATTTACGACATGCAATTTAAAAATATAAAAAAATTAAATTTAAAAAAAAATATCATTGAAAGTACAATTCTAAATAATGGTTGGTGAATAAAATAGTAGTATTTTTTTTCTATAATATTTTTTCTTTAAGAAGTTCGTCACCGACGTTCTGGATGATTCTATTAATATTTTATATTTAAACTCACCAATAATTCACCTTTTCTTTTTTCCAATAATTAATTTGAAAAGGTTATGCCATGGAAAAGAGAGGATAGAAAAGGCGAAAGAGATGCGATGACGAATGTTACCTGGCATTTTGCATCATTAATCATATCG